AATTCACGCTTTTCATCTTTAACATTTTAGTCGTGGTTTACATCAATCAGTTTTAATCCTCGTTTCAAATGGCAAGCTAACTCGGTGAAAAACGGTGAATGAAAGAGATCAGTTGAAATCACTGTAAAAGCTGTCATTTGTAAAGACTGGAGGGCGTTGTCTCTTTGGGGGTTAATTAATGTGTACATGTATTCTTTGTTAGGCCACTGCAGTTTCCTTCTGATGAAACTTTGAAAAGCATAAAGCATTTAATCTGTATGAAGGCACATAATAAAATGCAGACAATTGGACAGGGTACATGTACCCCCCTGGTAGTTCCTTTAAAACTGTGAATTCTGTTTTCTTAGGCTTTTATGACTTCAATTTAATACAGTGTACACATTGGACCTAGAAAATGAAAGGTTAACAGGTTGAGGCCTCTCAATATTGAAGGAAATGTTGCAGAAACACTACATGTACATGTTTGTATAAAGTAGTAACATCGGTAGGGTGGAACATAGATGCATAGGCTACCAAATGCATGTAGGGTTTATGTAAAAGTCAAATGAGTCAGGCTCCAAGGGAGTATTATGTACCGTAGTACATGTTCCACGGACTGGATGGCCCTTCATTGTTGGAATCTTACCAACGGCTTGTCAAGAGAGATTTGGTTCAAGTGGGAGTGAAAACACAAACAAAGGCTGGTAACATAACATGTATGCCTGTGTCATAACCCTAGGTCACTGAGTGCCTAGCGGGGTATGCCCTTTGGGTAATAATGACAGACTGGTACCATAAAACAAACACCCAGAGGTTGGCATTAAGCATGATTGCAGGTTGTGTTTTAGGGTGCGTCTGAGTCCGTTGTCTACTACTACAATATGTCTGAACCTTTGCCTAAAGGAGATAATGACATGCGGGACGGCAGACATACCCGTAGCCGTAGCTCTAGAAAGTGGTAGCCCTACTAGACTCATATCACTTATCAGATATGTGCCCACTTCAGCAAGCCATCTGTTGGAGTGTGCTTAGAGGTTTTTGTATGGGCACAGCAGGCATAGCTTGCCAACATAAACACTTCTTTCAAGGGTGCAGAGGAATGGTCTCTTGAGTTTGACCCATGAAGGGTTCATGGAGCATAAGTTACTTTCTTAAGTGGTACATTGAAGACAGGGATACATTAAACAGCATTTGTATGTACACATTTTGGATTTGCAGGCACCTTTGTCTGAAACGCTTAACTTTGATGCATTTGCCTTTCAAAGCCTTGAGTTAATGTGTACATGTAATTCAATGAAGTACCCATTGTCCACCAAGTTAATTACTACCTGAAGGTATTCAGTGGTACCTCTACATTGTAACCCGGTTCTCAAAATATTCTCAACTTTAATGCATTCAGTGAAACTTGTTTGTGTTTGAGCATTTTAATACAAATAGTAGTCAGGAATGGCTGTGTAGTGATTTAAACACTCACCAGAATCTACCGATACGTGTAGGACTTCACTTCTACAAGTTTTGCAGTTCGTTGACTGTTGTGTACTATTTACATTGTCTCAACTATATTTCTCAGTATACACGTACATGTAGCTGGGTCAAGAAAGCCCAGTTTCCAAAGCAAATAATAAGGGGGGGGATGCTGATGGGCCCATCAAATGGCTTCCTGAAGTAATTTTGATGAACAGGAATTGTTTTACATAAACTTTGGATCACAAATGGCACTGTCTTTGCTTCAATTAACACCAAAATGTTGGCACACCTGAATGCATGTAAAGAAAGAGACACCTGTCAGTTTTTTCTTTCTGAAATGGCTAGCCTACTTTACAGGATGCAGTATTGCTACATGTAGCTGATCCCAGCAGAACTGGTAAATGTACATGTATATAGTCCTGTGTTCTTGTCCAGAGAGCCATTTTTTTGGACGGGTTTAAGGGTTGAAACTTGAAAGTTGTGACCCTAGTGATGTTCTGTGGTTCGGGTCCCAGTTATTGCAAGTGCTTTGTGTAAAATATTCTTATTTTGTCCACGTAGCAGTTTAGGGATAGATTGTGATCAAGGTAGAAAATGTGGAGATTTGAAGGGAAATGTTTGAAAGTTGGCGGAAAGTTTTGATTGCAACAGAAGCTTCAGAAAATATACTCTGTAAAAATTCTCAGCCTGTATCGATGTAGGCTGAAACTACGTATTCCTTCCCAGCTACTGTAGTCGATCCGTGCCTTTCTTAGCAGACCATGTACCGGTAGAGTACCACGCCAGTGCATTGTGACCCCAAGTACAGTATGTGTGAAATCATTTCGCAAAAAGAATTAGAGTGGCATAGCATGACGCACGTACGATCAAGATGGCGTGCTGACTGTTCTGACCCCATAACTGCAGATGTAAAGGTGTTACTGGCTGAACCGTGTTAGTGTCAATAAAGCCCTTGATATTGTTTGTGCCAGCTTTGCATGGTGTGAAACATGAAAGTCGGCCTATGGGATATGTACATTTGTTCTGTATGTGTAATTTTACATTTGTACTTGTACAAAATTCAGAACTTTACCTGAGCATGATAGTCTCATTCCTCCTTAATGAAAATAAACAATTTAATGGATTGGTTTTGGTGTGTTAATAAGTCTGGAGCAGATTAATATTTGAGTGACATTTATCATAAAATCTGTTCTTGGAGCAAATTTTACAAATGCAAAATTCGGTTAATACTGATTGTGAAATTAATAGTAAAAATTACACATGTAGTTTTCAGCCAAAAACATCTGCTTCGAAAACTTGAATGAGTAAAATGTTTTTATTGTGCGAGGATGTTGTTCACTTACTTCAGTTGTAAAACCTTTCCAAAGATCTTGTTACAAGAACTTGATTCTTCTACTCCTTATACAATGATAATGTTCTTTCACATGGACGTTTGTTTCTCAAGAGTTTTGTGGAAAATACAACATGCAGACCCAGCAATCATATTATCACATGATAGTGTACAATTGTACTTTTATACATCTACATGTACAAGTATGTGCACACTTGCACTTTTGTAAGGCACAGATTAGTTAGTACAGGTCTCAGGTGCTGTGTATGCATGATTTGATTTTTTTGTTTCCTTGTTGTGAAAGCTGTGGTAGTCTTAAGCCGCATAGGCTATACACATGTACTCGGTACTCAGGTACATTGTGCCTCATGCTACAGCTACTGGTATAATAAGTCAGTGACGTAATTTGCAAAGAATGTCAATTTCTTTGACATTTTTTACTGAGCAAAACTTCTAACTTCCGTCCCTGTATAATAGTACTGTACCTGTACTGGTACATGTGTACATGTATATTATAGTTCCTGGTTATTGCCAAAATAGAGGGAAAAGGATTTTTCTTTTCTTTTCTTTTTTTTTTTTGTAAATGGGTAATTCCAGAAATTATGGTAATGGTCCATTTTTTTCCGTGTCCCTGTCTTATCTGACAAATGATTTTGATTAAGTTCAGAACACATTTTCTAATTTCCAAGAGTGATGAATTAATGCAAATCACCTTCCAAACAAATAGTAATAGTTTGAAATAAACTCTGGTGATATTTCCATGTCCAATAACAAAACTCAGACGTAACAGACACGCAGAAATGTCACACTTTTGGACCCTTAATTTCTGGAAATACCCAAATAGAAAATCTGGCAACATCACTGAAACCTGTTTAAAGAGATTTGTGGTACATACATGACCCTGACCATCACAGTTCAGAGGTGATGGAAGATCCCTCGGCTGAGTCTGTCCTAGAGGTTACATGCTGGATACTGTTTCTTCTCCTCCTTTCCGTTGCGACGTCTACAATAACATGTGGCTTGATGAATTCCTGCTACTGCTTCTTTGTTTCCCAATTTTGATAACAAACAGCTTGTTCCCACTTGATCCACCAATTGGGGGATCTGATCCACCTTTTGCCATATTGCCGGATC